CAGGTTGTGTCCATATTTCTTACCCATCATAATTCAAGTCCACCTTCCTGTGCACAAAGGAAACGCTGGCAAGATGGTTTAGGAGCCAATTACAGGTACAACTTATGACCACCGTTGACCCCAAAATTTCTATTACTACTTGAAACCTGAAAACCTGAAAACTTATTTATTTCACCTAGCCGGGCTGGCTTGATCCCATAGTTTTGGTTAAATTTAATTGATTTTAATTGGGTTGTTTTAAATTCTGGCCAAAAATATTTAATTATTTTTAAACTGTTTTTAAATTTTGTATGTTCTGTTTTATTCTGGCTGTTCACCGCCTGGAGTCCTGCTGGAGAAGGGCGGTATACAAATTAAAACAAACAAAACAAAACAGTTTTAAGTGAGTTTTGCTCCATTTTACAACCTTTCTTGCCACAGTTGTTAAGTGAATCCCTGCAGTTGTTAAACTAATAACACAGTTGTTAATTGAACCTTGACTTTGCTTGTCAAAAGGTTGCAAAATTGTAACATAAATACATGCCAGTTGCCAAGTGTCCAAATTTTGATCATGTGACCACAGAGATGCTGCAAATGTCGTAAGTATGAAAAACGGTCATGAGTCGCTTTTTTTGAAGTTGCCATTGTAACAGTCACTAAATGAATGGTTGTAAATTGTGGACTGCTTTTATACATTCATTCATTCCCCCATCCCACTGTGTGCAAGCTCTCCAAGGTCATCAGACATGTCTTGTCACACACAATCAGAAGGACCTAGAAAGTCCTTCCTTTCTTCCTGCTGCCTGGCAACCGGTGCTGGCGACTGTCTGCTGAGAAGCATGAAGCCCTCTTTGTTTTAAGTTTCACATTCTCTTAATGATGATAGATTGTGAGGATGGGATTTTTGTGGGAGTTCAGATGAAATTGGAATAAAAAGCCCACGGATATGGACTTCTCTTGTACTTTCCTGTAATTTCTAGGATTTCAGGCAGGGGTGAAATCCAGCAGGTTCTGACAGGTTCTGGAGAACTGGTAGTGGAAATTTTGAGTAGTTTGGCAAATACCACCTCTGGCTGGTCCCAGAGTGGGGTGGGAATGCATATCCTTCCCCTGAGAGGGGTGGAAATGGAGATTTTGCAGTATCCTTCCCCTGCCACGCCCACCAAGCCACGCCCCACTATGCCCACCAAGCCACGCCCCCAGAACCGGTAGTAAAAAAAATTGAATTTCACCACTGATTTCAGGATAGTTCTTCCAAAAGTTTTCTCCTGCATCTAGAATTCAGAATACAACCCACTTCATATTCTTTTCTCCCAGCCACCAGCACAGGGGTGTGAAGAGAGAGAAAGAAGATTTTTAGAGCACAAAGGTTATGGGAGCTCCTCATGACAAAAAAGACCCAGAAGGAATATTGAATGAATTTTTACTTGAATCAGGCAAATTGAAGACAAAAGGCCACTGTACTAATTTGTTGGGAGGGCATGGGTGGGGGGTAGAATAAATGTTCAGAGCAATTTTTTAGGTAGGCAGGTGGAAGGTTAAATTTTAGTTAAAAAGCTAGGGCAAATTCCCCACCACATTCTTGATGGTCTGTTGCATGTGTGTATGTGGGTCATGACTGTATACAGGCTTTGCCAGATCTAACTTTTTTTTTTTAAAAAGGAGCTGTGCAGTCTGCACCTCTGCATAAGATCCAAGGCCTGAAAAACAGCAGATGTGGACATTCTTTAGGGTAAGACACAGGGCTCATAGCTATAGGTTGGAGAGATGCCTATGGAGGAACGTACATTTGTCCAGGGGCAACGGCTCATATTGACTGTCCTGCTGATAGGAAACACAGTACCTCAAGTACCATCCTAATGTTCTGTTCACTCTCTCCATTTTTCCATTAGATACCAGAGGATCTGAGGACTAGCATCTACATGGTACTTTCTTTTATTTAATGATTTAAATATTAAATCAATCTTTATTCTTTTAGCTATACGAATAATAAGGAAGAGAGGAGAATGCGTTTTCCCACAGTAGGGATTATTATTTGCCACAATTCAAACTCTATCGCAGCAGCTGAAATCTGTCAGACAGAAAGCTGCGATCTGACTAATGCATGCACGCTCATCTCAACATTTACAATATGCATCTGTACTTTAGTCATCAGAAAGAGAGCTCAAAATGAAATCTGAGCAATGCTTGGGAACAACCCTGCTTTTTAAAAGAGGCATTTGCAAAAGTCAGAAAGAAAAAAAAATTAAGACACTGTTATCAGGAACAGTTAGCCAAAAAAGAAAAAGAAATAGGAACTATCACCAAGAAAGAGGGAGATCCTTTTACTTATTATTCCTTATTATACCCTTCCTTTCTCTTAATTTGTTTCATCCTTTGTCAGTTAAATGTGTGAGTTGGGCAACCATATAAATTTGTTTAATAAATAAATACATGCACAGTGACTGTTTTTAGCAGAGAACTGAACAAATTACGTTCAATTACAGCATACCTCTTCATCTGGTCTCAATTGGTTTTTTTTTTTAAAGCCACATCTTCTAATTGAACATCCACTTTACAGAGTTTCTTTCTTTCTGCTCCTTTGTAGGTGGAAAGGACAAAGGTTCCTCTCTCTGTGCTAAAAAGTGATCTTGGCACAATTGCTTCTGAGCAGAGAGCCTGAATTTTTAAAGAGAATTGTTTCATGGTCCAGTAGACAAAACCAAGTTTGGCTCAAAACAAACTGCTTTCTCTAGTTTAAAAAGAAGAAGAAAAAACAAGCATATTTCTGGGGTTTGGCACAGTTGCTAAGCAAAATCGATACCGTGTGGGTGCTTAGATGTTCACCCTGAGTGACCCACATGATTTTTAAGTCTCTAAAAAACGAATTAAACTTTAGTTGACTCCTGTTTAAGATTCTAAACAAGAAATTAAACTTTAGTTGACTCCTGTTTAAGATTCTAAACAAGAAATTAAACTTTAGTTGACTCTTTCCTTTTCAATGATATTTTTTTGACTTTTTTCCTTTCACTGTGCACAGGAAACCCTGAGGTCATTTAGCAATGCCATCTTAGGTATCTTCTCCTATAGGACCTTTTGAAGGGTGGGTTTCAGACATGAGAAAATTTAGAGGGTTTGCCCTATGACTTTACCTCCAATGCAGAGGTGGGTTTCAGCAAGTTCGGACCAGTTCTGGAGAACCGGTAGCGGAAATTTTGAGTAGTTCGGAGAACCGGTAAATACCACCTCTGACTGGCCCCACCCCATCTATTCTCTGCCTCCTGAGTCCCAGCTGATCGGGAGGAAATGGGGAATTACACCGGATATTTCATATTCTTAACACTGAAGGGTTTTAAAACTTCATGTTTTTAAAAAGCTTCTATTGGAAATGATATGGAGCACTAATTTTGGTCTGGATTTCTGAAGCCCAGACAGGACATCCTTGATAGAGGTGCACATGAACAAGGGTTTTTTTTCTCTTTTGTAAAATAAAAGAAATGTGTTATTGGCAAAGAATTTCAGGCAGAGAACTTTTAAGACACATATGCATGCTCTGTATTTGAAATGCTTGGCCTGCAAGTGATTTAAAAAAAAAAACCACAAGGGGAAAAAATTAAGGGAAATGAGATAATTTATTTTTAAGGTGGCCAACTATGTGTAATTATGGTAAAACTGATTAATTCCCTCTGAAAGGTTCAAGAGGATTTCACTTGGAGGCAGCTGGGTACAGAGAGGTGGAGTGATTGCTTCCTCCTAATAATGAGGTCACCGTTTGGCTGCAGAATACCATGTTTTCTTGATTGCTTTCCAGGAGAAAACATTGAAACTCTTTGGGAAATGAACCTTCAGAATGAAAAGGGGAGAAGAAGAGGCATTGCTAAACCAAATTAGGCCTTTGCTTCATTTCCACCCCAGTAAAAAGGATGAGGATCTTTTTACTGTTCTGAGAATGAAGCACAGAAGGAGAAGGCATTCTACATGGACCAAAAATGATTCACCCAAACTAAAGTTCTATATTATTTATTCCCAATCTACCTTCTAGATTGGGGATCCCCAATGTTGGAAGAAATGTCCATCTGGGTTCAGTTCCAAGTGGGAAGAAAGACACTGGAAACATGGTGGCTGTTTGGAAAGATGGTTTTTTCATGGTGGACAGGATCGCATGGTTTGAGATCTTGGGCAAAAAGGCACATGGAGTGGAGAGAGGGATATATTTATATACTCTCTTGGGCCTTGCCTTAGAGTTTCCTGTTCCTGTACAAGAAATGTATCCCATTGGCTGTCAGACTCCCAGGGGGAAGGGGTCTTAGCTAACTTTGTAGGCTGTCTGTGTCTCAGGCTTGGTTGAGCCTTACTAGGTGATGTAATCTTCGCAGGTTCCATGTGGTGAGATGGGTAGAGGGCTAATCCTATCATATCCTGAGGGCCATGTCTTTAATCCCATCACCCTGGAGCTGAAGGGGGGGGGGAGAGCTGCAGGAAGCTGCTTTGTCTTTAAAAATATGTTTCTCCTTTTCTCATCCAGGGAAATATACTATTCTGCCTCTTTAATATTTCCTATAATATTTCATTCTTCCAGGAGGTGGGGGGGTCGGGGTGCTAACTTCCTACACCAACCTTTTGGTCATATATTTTATTAGTAACAAACATTCTAAATATGCTCCCCATATGTGCATGTTTATTTATAAATCATGTGTATCATTCCATTATATACATTATAAAATATGTATAAAATATCTTGTAATTTTAAATTGTTTTGATATTTATATTTTCTATTGCATTGTAAGAGGATCAGAGTCATTTTGAATAGCAAGATGCATGGCATATTAATTAAAAAAACCACCTCTCTAACTGAAATTAAAAAAAGGATAGGCTAAAGGAAGAGATAGCATCAGGCACAAGCAACCAAATACACATGTGTAGAGTTCAAGCTAACTATTTTATAGTATTCTGCTTATAATACAGGAATCTTTCCAGACTGCCAGTTCTCCCCTAGGAATAGATAAAGCTCTATGGAGCTTAAAGGTGTGTGTTTTTTTGCAGGCTGTGCAAGGATTCAAGATTAATTCCTCACTTGAGATCTTCCTGCTGTCTGGCTGGGTTTCCTAACAGGTAAGTAGATAAGTAAGTAGGTAAGAGAGATGATAGATAGATAGATAGATAGATAGATAGATAGATAGATAGATAGATACAGTTGATAGATAGACAGACAGACAGACAGACAGACAGATTCTAATATTTTTCCTATATTCAATAGGATAGTCTCATGCTTCTCCTGGGGTATGTGCACTTCTCATTGGAAATGGCTTCTCTAGATGGCCATGCAAGCCGGGAAATCCTGGGATCTGGATTTCTGGAGAGCACCTAAGTGGAAAAGGTAGCAAATCTACCCAAAGTATGCCATGATTAGGGTGTGTGTGTGTCCAGATTTGAGGGAAGCAAGGCTGGACTTCTTCAGTCATGGCATTCTTGAATTTTAACACTTGTCCTTGATATAATTTTGTTATTTATGGTTTCCAAATAAAGGACTTCCTCAATCATGGTCCAGATTTGAGGGGAGGAAGGCTGCACTTCCCCAATCATGACATACTTTGAAACTGAAAATAAAGACAGTCATGTCTTTGTCATCTTCTCCTCAAACTTCTCTTTCCTCCTTCCCTCCAAACCCACTCACAGTACAGTCCTTAAGCACAAAATTTCAGAAAAGCTTTATCAAGCATGGGGATATGGAGTTCAGGAATCCAGGAGAGTTGAATATTTCCAAACACCCCAAGATGCCTCATTAATTTTAACACATGTCCTTGATATATTTTTGTTGCTTATGGCTTCCGGATAAAGGTATCTTGGTTGTACAGAGATCTCCATCAGACCCTAAAAATAAATGGAGGAAGAAGGGAGAGTAGGAAGGCTATGGGCAAGATTACAAGAGGGCAGGATAGAGAGTGATTTGGGCAAAAGCAAATGGCACGAAACTGAAATAGTATCAATTTTATACAGGCTTCCCAGCATCTCTACTCTTACTTGTTTTATCCCCCTGATTTTTGCATGTTTGCTCCCAGCAGGTGACACTAAAATGGAGGATCACTAGCCACTCCAGAGCAGAGGGGAAATGAAATAGGCAGTGGGGTTACTGATTCATTCACCAAAGAAGAAAACAGAACACAACACCAGATACAATAGAGCCAGTGAGGTTGACAATCAGATTTATGCCTGGAGTGTTTCTTCCAGTCAGAGAGAGCATGGCCAGTATTTTCTGCAAGCAATGTGGAAGCAGCCTTAATAAATGTTACCATTCATTATTTAGGGCAGTCATCCCTGAGTCGGATTTGAATGCAGAATCGGGTGGCAACATAGTGGCATATTATGTCTTGGCACCGTCCTCTTTGCATGAAGCAAAAGCACATCCCATCAGTGGTGAAACCCAATTTTTTTTTACTACTGGTTCTGTGGGTGTGGCTTGGTGGACGTGGTGTGGCTTGGTGAGCATGGCAGGGGAAGGATACTGCAAAAACTCCATTCCCACCCCACTCCAGGGGAAGGATACTGCAAAATCCCCATTCCTTCCCCACTCGTACTATCAAGAGCCTTGATAGTACAGTGGTTTAGTGCACCCTGTTATTAACACAGCTGCCTGCAATTTCTGCTTGTTTGAATCTCTCCAAGGCTCAAGGTTGACTCAGCCTTCCATCCTTTCTAAGGTAGGTGAAATGAGGACCCAGTTTGTGGGGGCAATAACCTGACTTTGTATAAAAATATACAAAAGAATGAAGGCTATTGCTTAACGCATTGTAAGCCGCCCTGAGTCTCTGGAGAAGGGCGGCATATAAATCAAATTTTTTTTAAAAAAAAGGATATTGCAAAATCTCCATTCCCATCCCACTCAGGGCCCAGCCAGAGGTGGTATTTGCTGGGTCTCCGAACTACTCAAAATTTCTGCTACCGGTTCTCCAGAACCTGTCAGAACCTGCTGGATTTCACCCCTGCATCCCATGTACTTATAGGCCTTATGGAAAATAGAGCCGGGGGTAAAAATGGACATGGAAGTTAAAGGAACAAGAGTGAAAGAAGAATTGTATGAAGATAGATTAATTCCCCAAACAGAAGGAAGGGAAAGAGGACGAAAGGAAAGAGCATGTGGAAGTCACTTGAAACAGATTGGAAAGAATTATATTATAGAATGCCATAGATATGTGCGGAGTTATGCTAATGGGAAGTTATCAATGGAATGTTTGTTGTTTGATGGAAGGATAAAGGGAGAGTGACTGTGAAAGAGGAAAAAAATGCATACAATAGAATCCGGGGTGGGTTCTACTTACCTTTACTACCAGTTCGCAACGGGATTGCTCGCACGTGCGAACGAACGCATGCGCAGAAGCTTCTGGACATGTGCAGATCGCTGATGATGACATCCGGGATGATGGGCCGGGCCTCCTGCTGGTTTTACTACCGGTTCTTGTGAACCGGTCTGAACCGGGGGCAACCCACCACTGTATAGAATGCTGAAAAAGTGAGAAATGAGAAAGAAGTAATGTCTTGTCTGTATTGATTGATAGGAAAAAATAGTTTCAAAGATGTAGTCAAAGAGACCAAGGAACAGTTGAGCACAGAAGAAGCAGTGAAAAAGCAGAATGATTTTGATGGATTTTTTTTTTTAATAAAAGTTTTGAAAGTGGCTAAAGAGAGCAAAGAAAGAGAAACCAAATGAACAGAATTAAAAGTAAGATGAAGACATTATTTAGGATGAGTTGAAATATGGGAATGCTGAAAGGAGTATTTGAGAAAGTTGTAAATGGATTGAGAAGATTGGAAAGACTAAGAAGGTTGTGACTGAGTTGTGAGAAGTTTAGGCAATAGATGAAGCTGTGTATTAACTGGACAAGGGGAGGAAAGGAGGGGAGGGGAAGAGAGGAGTGAGGTTTCCAAGAATAGAAAGATGTAAATGTATCTTTATATTTATTTATTCATGCATTTTGTGGACTGTACCAATTAATTGATACAGTACTTTTAAGCAAATTGCAGCTCATGGGCAAACGGGAACTATCCACATATATGGAGAATGTTTTAAAGAGCAGATGTTTCATGATTTGGGAGAAATGAAAGGCCCTTTGAAGAAAAATACTTAACCCTTGGTATATCTGTGCTGACATATACTACTTCCCTTTAAGCAATTACACAGATGACTTCGTGCTATGTGCACATGTGAACTGATGTGCTTGAGTTAAAACTAGTCTATGCAATAGTTGCAAATAAACAAAGTGCGGAAACCTACCCATGTTTTGAAGAAAATACTAAATTTTGCAAAGTTCTTTCTGAGAGTGTCTCAATACCGATGGACCACCCAGACACAAAGCATGAAATTACCTCCCCACCATTTTTTTCAACTTTCTAACCTGGTCTTTCGGCAGCTGCTGCTGCTTTCAAACCCCTCATGTTTTCCCAGCTGCTTAGTGTGCCTGAAAAGAGGTCGCTAAAAGCCAAAGATGGATTTAAGAAACCAAACAAACTTTTCAAAATCTGAACACGCACAATGAGAGCTCTTGCTGTTAGCAGCCTGAGAAGAAAACTATCTTAGGAGGGGGAAAAAGGATTTCCCAAGGTTTTCTTTCTTTAAATGGGTATGGAGAACAGAAAAAAAATGTGTTCCACAAGTTTTTTTTTTTTTAAAGATTTCTCTTTCTCCTATTCTAACTGGACTCTTTCTTTTATGTACACTGAGAGGGTATGCACCAAGACAAATTCCTTGTGTGTCCAATCACAATTGGCCAATAAAAGAATTCTATTCTATTCTATTCTATTCTATTCTATTCTATTCTATTCTATTCTATTCTATTCTATTTCACTACTATAGTTTTGAATAAACCCTGAACAACATATAGAGATATTTCTCCTTCAAGGTTCCTTTTTACCCAACCTACGCATCCAAGTTTATTCTTTTGAAGTCTAGTGTGACAGTGTTGAACTTCCTTGGAAACTTTCCATTTGCAGACCCATGAGATACTGTATGATAGCTTTGCACTTATGCTTTTAGCAGTTCAAAACAACATTCACACCATGCTAAGTACGGCTTGTGAGGCAGTAAAGATTCAGCTTCGAAAGCAGCCTTTGCAGCTTGAACCTTTCGTTCTAGGGCCAAGAAGTGTAGGTCATAGTCACAAGGAGAGCAAAAGAGGCAATCAGGAATCATGGACATCTATTTTTGGTACTTGCCAGACTCTCAGTCTCAACTCAATTTAAATCTTCTGGTTTTAAAAATGATATCTAACTAGCCCCAAGTGTGGAATAAATAGCATTTCAGAGAGAGAGAGAGAAATCTATCATAAAGAATCTGGCTCTCAACCTACATATTCTTATATTGCAAAAGGTGATGGGGTTTTTATTCTAGTCAAATATGGACACATGCAACTGGCATCTCAAATTTCCTTTTGATTTGGTAGATTATTTCAGCAAGCAGAAATGATTTCCTTAAAGTAGGAAATGTATCGCTTGGACAAATGCTACAGAGAACATGTATACATACATGATTTCAGATTCAGCTATTGATACGTACATGGAACTGTCCAGACAGACAGATAAATAATAATTCTAGAGACAAGCAGAGATAGATTACTTTCCAGAGACTGCTAGTGTACCTGCAAAAGTGCTGAGAAATAGCAGAGCTTTCTGGATTTTGCTCAAACATACTGGTGGTTGAGCCCTCCAGCCATTTGGTGATCTACAAGGCAAACGGAAACAAGGGCCCAGGAGAAGGGGAAAAAAACAGGTATATTGTATGAGATGCTTTGTTGCAGTGGTTAAGATGCTGGCCTAGAAAACAGGAAACTGTGAGTTCTAATCCTGCCTTAGACATGGGTCACTCTGGGCCAGTCACTCTCCCTTGGCTCAACCCATCTCACAAGGTTGCTGTTAGGGAAGATAAGTGGAGGAGGAAGGAATATTAGGTTTATTCACTGCCTTGAATTACTTATAAAGTAATAAAAGCAGGATAAAAAATTAATAAAAATAGTGAATAAAAAGAAAGAGCAGATAGCAAGAAGAGATGAGGTGCATGTATTCTGTATGAAGAATAGCAAGGTGCTGATCTCCTAGTCCCAACACAATTTAAGTCATATGTAGAGGTATGCAAAATATTTCCAACATGAGTTCAAAATGGGTTGTTCCAATTTTACCAGAAATGCCCCAGACATATTGGAAGAATTGCAAGGTCAACCCTATTGCGGAATGATTGGAAGACTGTCAGAACACTTCAAAAAGCTTGGAACAACTTTGGCTATGTTACGCGTGCAAATTCATTGGAGAAAGCAATGATGCTAAGAATGGTTAGCGGGCAAAGAAGAAAGGGCAAGCAAAGAAGATACTGGCTTGATAGCATCAAATCTGATCCAAGTTGAACATACAACAATTGAAGGAAACTGTGGTTCACAGGGTAGTGTGGAGAGCACTTGCCTATACAGTTGCCAGGAGTCGGACACGAATAAATGGTTATAAACAGCAACAAATATGACAACCAGCACCATGAATCCCGAAAGGAAGCACATTGGCAACCAGTACAAGTGTTCCAATACACTTAAGAGTCATGGTGGCGCAGTGGCTAGAATGCAGTACTGCAGGCTAATTCTGCTGACTGCCAACTGCCAGTAGTTCAGCAGTTCGATTCTCACCAGCTCAAGGTTGACTCAGCCTTCCATCATTCCGAGGTCGGTAAAATGAGGATCCATATTGTTGGGGGCAAAGTAAAAGAGCCTTGATGGTACAGTGGTCTATGCACCCTGTTATTAACACAGCTGCCTGCAATTTACTGCTGGTTCGAATCTCTCCAAGGCTCAAGGTTGACTCAGCCTTCCATCCTTTCTAAGGTAGGTGAAATGAGGACCCAGTTTGTGGGGGCAATAAGTTGACTTTGTATAAATATACAAAAGGATGAAGGCTATTGCTTAACACATTGTAAGCCGCCCTGGGTCTCCGGAGAAGGGTGGCATATAAATCAAATTAAAAAAAAAAGTGCTGACACTGTAAACCACTTAGAGAGGGCTGTAAAGCACTATGAAGCAGTATATAAGTCTAAGTGCTATTGCTATTTAAGCAGAGAGAGACCTCTGGATCAGGTTGAATCCAGCTAAATGCTTTCCTTTCTCCCTGCTCTTTTACAGATAAGAAACAAAGTTGGTCTCCTGATAGTTAGTTTAGCTTCAGAGGCTTCTGGGATATTAAACATGCCAAGGAGTAAAGGCCTCTTCTGGAATAAGTCTGACTGTGCTAAAGGCTGTGTGGCTGACTTTACGCAGAAGAAAAAAACACTTCAGAACACAAGCTACTTGATAGCCTCAATATCACAATCAGGAAAAACTTCCTGGCTTCACATTTTCCATATAAATACTCCCACCACTGGCTCCAGTTAATTGCTCTCTTAAATGCCACGTAGAAAAGGCCAATCCATTCAATTGACGTCACTGATGCTGAGTGTTTCGGTGAAATGTGCTGAGCTTCCCTCATTTATACGTTTGACCCTAAACCTCTACCAGATGTTCCACTCATTGTCCATGCACACATACACACCACACACACACAGACACACACAGAGACACACACACACAAAGCCTGAAGAGCAAAAATTTGCAATGAGATCTGACAAAACCTTTTTTGTTTTAAGAAGTCCCGTTCTGTTAACTGAATGAGATCCCTGAATACATCGGATGGTTGACAGGAGGATTGCAGATTTCTGCTCCCTTTACCACCACCCCCACCCCCCCAAATAATCTAGCTTGTTCTGAGGTGCTACAATGAAGGATGACTGCAATTGTCTGCTTGTTTCAATGCTCTTCCATTCAGGAGTAGTTTTGGTATTGATTCATCCTGCCAAAGAATGCTTGATTGTCTGCCACAGAACTGAGGAACATTTCAGGAGAAATTAGGGGTGTTTCGAGGAATCTACGCATTCTCTGCACTCAAATGAACTGTTCATAGTTCATTTGAGTGAGCTCCAGCCAGACATCTCCAACCTCCTTGGCATCCTATGTGGAAGCAGAATAGTTGTTTCAGTCAGTTGTTTGAATTGCATGTTTTAGGGACAATCAACGAGTAAGCACGCTGTTTTCCAGCACATGTACCGGCACTCTCCTTAGTTCCTACTGCTCTCCAATTACTAAGAATTCAGTGTGTGTGTGTATGTGTGTGTGTGTGAGAGAGAGAGACCCATTTCTGTACAGAGAGACAAAGAACGAGCGAGCAACAACCACAACAATACTTGAACACACAATAGATACAAACTTAAAGTGAACCGCTCCAAACTCAATTGCAGAAAATATGACTTCAGTAACAGAGTTTTTAATGCCTGAAATGCACTACCAGACTCTGTGGTCTCATCCCAAAACCCCCAAACCTTTAACCTAAGACTGTCTACTGTTGACCTCACCCCATTCCTAAGAGGTCTGTAAGGGGCGTGCATAAGAGCACCAGCGTGCTTGTCCTAATGTTCCCTTTAATTGTATTCATTTAATGTATTCAATTCATGCTTATATTTATATATACTGTATATTATCTAATATGTACTCGACAAATAAAAATAAATAAATAAAAAATACAAAAGAGACAGACAGACAGACAGCCTGAGATGGAGACAGAGAGACAGAAAGAAAGGTGAGGGAGGGAAGGAGGGAAGCAGAGAGGAAATTTCTAACCTGCGATTTGGACATGCTATTTGAAGACAAAAACCCAGTCATTCTTTGTTAGATCTGTTTATGGTGGTTAATTAAAACAACCAGAGTGGTAGTTTTGATGGTGGAAATTGCAGATGCTTCTTGTTAAAAGATGAATATCGTATTCCTTTAAAGGAAACTATAATAGAAATACATCTGAAAAATATAATCTTGACCTCTATAGCCTTAAGTAACCATCAACAGTCTCCAACATTCATTTTAACCAGTAGTAAAATCCTTAAATTAAAGAAGGCATACACTATTTGCTAGATTTCTCCAAGATATTATGTTTCTTTTTAAATAAATTACTTATATGCGTTTTTGTAGTGGCTCTAGTTCTGTTTGGTTCAGGAGGTGAAACTCATGGGCCCTATATTGCCCATGAGTTTCCACCTTACCATCGGAGATCTCAAAAGTCAATAGGTCACAAAGAATCTGTAAAAAAATCTCAGTATTTATTTGATTACAACAGGTAATGATCAGGGGGATGGAGGCTAAAACATACAAAGAACGATTACAGGAATTGAGTATGTCTAGTCTAAAGAAAAGAAGGACTAGGGTGACATGATAGCAGTATTCAAATATTTGATGGGCTGCCACAAAGAAGAAGAAGTCAACCTAATTTCCAAAGCACCAGAAGGCAAGGCAAGAAACAATGGATGGAAACTAATCAAGGAAAGAAGCAACCTAGAACTAAGGAGAAATTTCCTAACAATGAGAACAATTAACCAATGGAACAGCTTGCCTTCAGGAGTTGTGGGTGCTCCCTCACTGGAGGCTTTCAAAAAGAGACTGGACAACCATTTGTCTGAAATGGTTTAGGATCTCCTTGCTCAAGCAGGGGATTGGACTAGAAGACCTCCAAGGTCTCTTCCAACTCTATTATTCTATGTTTTATGACAGATAGGAAATTGTGTTATAGGACCAAGCATACTTTGTAAATAGCAATAGCATTTAGACTTAAATACCGCTTCATAGTGCTTTTAGAACCCTCTCTAAGTGGTTTACAGAGTCAGCCTATTGCCCCCAACAATCTGGGTCCTCATTTTACCCACCTCGGAAGGATGGAAGGCTGAGTCAACTTTGAGCCGGTGAGATTCGATCTGCTGAACTGCAGCTAGCAGTCAGCTGAAGTAGCCTGCAGTACTGCACTCTAACCACTGTGCCACCTCGGCTCTGTGATGCAGAAGAAGTGCTTTGGACCTGATATATAGATGCAGCACATCTCTGATGTTCATGGAAGCATCCACACCTTTTTCAGAATCTCCACAAGCCTGGAAAAATATGTGGTTGCATTAATGAATCAAATCAAAGCAGCATATGTTTAAAATGCAACTCTTAAAGCAACTGCATCTTTTTCAGATTTGAGAATAAAGACATGACTACTTTAAGTGATAGCACAGAAATACTGTGCTCATATCAGATCCAAAATAAGTTTTTTTCTGTATTATTTTCAGATGTGTAACAGCCCTGTTGCTTCATTTGAAAGATGACTTTGAATAAATGCAAGCTCGGTGTTACTTTCTCATGCCAAGCAAGATGATGACTTCCAGAGAAAAAGGAGAAACCCTACTGTTGTTTGCCTGCCTCAAGGTAAAGTTCTTTCCATCAACTGTGGTCTCCTTTTATTGTTCATCTATTCTTTTTAGATGCTTTCACAGAAATTTGCTCTGTCCATATAGATCATATATTTAAGGTGTCATACTCTTTCCTCAAGGTCTCTTTTATTGTCAAGAGCTAGCAATGATGGTGATGTTGATGATCAGTAGTGGGTTTCAAAGCCTGTCACTACCAGTTCGTTCGTGGGGTGAGGGGCGCAGAAGCATCTGGGTGGGTGGGCGGAGCCTCCTGCTGCCACTGCTACCGGTTCGCCCGATCCGGGGCGAACCGGTAGCAACCCACCGGTTGATTATAGGCCATCAAGTCAGTGTTGATTCTTAGCAACGAAATAAATAGATTTTTTTTCCATGACAATCAGAGGTGGTATTCAGCAGGTTCTGACCGGTTCTAGAGAACCGGTAGCTGAAATTTTCAGTAGTTCGGAGAACCGACAAATACCACCTCTGACTGGCCCCACCCCCATCTATAGTCTGCCTCCCGAGTCCCAGCTGATTGGGAGGAAATGTGGATTTTGCAGTACCCTTCCCCTGGAGTGGGGTGGGAATGGAGATTTTACATTAACCTTCCCCTGCCATGCCCACCTAGCCACACCCACCTAGCCACACCACATCCACCAAGCCACGCCCACAGAACCGATAGTAAAATTTTTTGAATCCCACTACTGATGACAATCTCTCCCTAATTTAATCCTTCGTGTCTTCCAGTAATGGTGATGACTGGGATTTATTTGACATCATGTTTTGTGCTTCTATAGGTTTCATTTTTGTATCTCTATTTTTATTTTATGCATTTATTTTAAAAGGTTATAAAATATAAGTAGAATACCAAAATATAAAACAATAATAAAATTAAACTAACAATCCAAAAAATAAAAATAAATGATTAATAAAGGAAAAGAAAATATGACCTTACATACTGTCAGTCTTGAGAACTGGGAAGGCAAATCCACTTTGAAATTGGAAGAAATAATTAAAATAATGATTACAAAATAATTTATTTAACAGTACTATCCTGGCTTCCCCATATAAGTTTTTACCATCTATTTTTTAAGTAAAATTTCCCCCCAAAATTCAATACTCATAGGTTTTTATCAAAACACAATTTTCACCCTAGTATGGCCCAAATATTTCTTTTACAGCCTACAGTCCAGAAAATAAAACAACTTTTGTTCTATATCTTGTTCCAAGAATTACCCATTTCTGCAATGGAAATAAATCAGAATATTCCAATGAAGCCTATAAAGGATAATGTTTTACTAAATTTACTTTTTCTCCTTATTATTTATAGTTGTTAAAAATAGCAAAAAAACAAAAAAGATGAAAAAGCACACCTAAAAACAATATTTATTTATTTATTGGAATTTGTCAAACAAAAACAAGAACAAGAATAAGAGGATAAAAACACAATGACAGGAACGATAGTGCACTTATGCACGCCCCCTCTACTGACCACTTAAGTATGAAGTAAGGTCCACGGAAGTCAATTTGTGACTGAAACTGTGAAAATTTGTAGCTGAGACAACTGAATCAGGTAGGGCATTCCACACTTTGAAAACTCTATTACAGAAATCATGTTTTTTATAGTCAAGTTTAGAACGATTTACATTGAATTTAAAGCGGTTGTTCGCACACGTATTATTGCGATTAAAACAGAAAAAGGAATTTATAGGTAAAACATTACTACATATAATTCTGTATGCAATACCTAGGTCTGACCACTTATTTATTTTTGAGACATATAGGAGAAGCAAAAGGAGGGGTGTGGGGGGGAGGTATCATGGGAATATTTCAGAACAAAAATCTGGAATCCCAAAGAGAGAAGGTCAGAAAGAAGATATATCCTAATTATATTCCTTTTATGTTAATATTAAGTTTCAAAATCAAGGTTCAGTTTTTGAAGTACTGGGTGGTGGAAGCTTATTTGCTGTCTTTTAACCTCTAAAAGGGTTACACCATAACTGCTTAATTCCCAGAAAAAAACTTTCTGGGGAACTGTCAAAACAGCTTCAATTAGTAAAAAGAGCAAGAAGAGTATTCCACTTATATTCATTAATGCAACTAGTTTTTTTAAATTAGTTTAAAAGTATATTAGATGAATGATGAACTCAAGACCAAAATAAGCAATATATAGGAAAAGAATAATGGACACCATCTCACAAAGATATATATGATTAGGGCAACATATAAGTCTCAAAGGAATTAAATACATACATTCACATACTGTACTGGGAAAAAAAAACTAATTTTGGGGGCCAAAGAGCAGGCACTGCAAATCTCATGGCAGAGAACATATGAAAAATTGCTACATGAATGACTTGAAGAATAAAAAGAAGAAACAAAACATAAACATTTCTAAATGTATGTTCTTAAGCAAGCAGGCTTTTTCTTCTCCAAAAGGAGAAGGCACAATCAATTACTATTTTCTAGATTTTATGAAATATATCAATTTGCCGGAAAACCAGACAACGCATGGCTGAAGCAGAGAGAAGCATGAAGTTGTAAATGATCCCAGCTCGCTATAATGGGTGGATTTCCACAACACACTAAAGAAAAATCAAAGAACCCACTTCATGGCTTAATCTGCAGTGCAGAGTCGATCTTTATCAGACATGTAACACCTCCATTTCTTTCAAGGCAGCTTTCTACTTGTAACTCTTCAGCTGTTTTTATCATCTGTAAAATAAAATTATAACATCACAGAAATATTTTCCCAAACTCTCTTTGATTTCCCCTTATATAAGAGAAGAAATATTAATATGATGTCTGAATTTCGCAAGAATGTCTGATTGTAACTTTCCAATCTATCTTAGAGCCAAAATGTTGCATAACAAGATACATACCAGTGTTGTTTTTTTTTAAACAGTTTGGTCAACAACACATAGGCCTATGAATGTCCATTTTATCTTTATTTTCTACAGCTGCACATAATCCCTTTTAGTTCTTGGATCAAAATATTTTATCACGGGTTTATGTTTATATCAAACTGGATGGTGAAAAAAACCAGACATGTAAGACCCCATCTTGAGAAGCAAAGTGGGAAAATAGCTACATACATTGTTTCTGTATTTTACTCCCTGCTATACAACCAATGTGAAGATCCACAGACATTCTTCAGTGCAAAACATTTGCCTTGGGAAGGTTTTAGCCTTCCAATTTTCAGATGAATTCCTCCTTTGCTGTTTGCATCTATCTCTAATATGTGTTCCACAAAAATGGGACAAATCTTGCAAAAGGCAAATGGAAATCTAAAAGGCAGCTGTCTGCATAACCTATGCGAGGCTGACCATGCTGCTTTTATGGAAATGCCACATTTTCCAAATAAAAATTCCAGGAAATGATTTATGTGGCAGAAAGGTTGACAGCTATGTAAATAGCTCTTGTTTCTGTCTTTTCAGACAATATGAAGTCATACATTTGCATTCACCCATCTTATTGGGAAGTATCTATTTTGCAGAGAAGGAGGTTACAATTGTATTTCTGCCCTCTCCTTGCATATGCTCTGTTAGCCTTGTCTCATGGATTTCTCATCTTGGGTGCAAATCTGATTTATGCAGCATATTAAACTATGTTTGCTTAGACATTTGTGGAATAAACTATCATTGGTTAAATTCATATAACACGCAATGCCATAATCCTGACATTATAAATTCCTATAGCTGGATTCATACAATAGTCTAAAGCAAACCATATTATAATTTAGAATAATGTATGAAGCAAAGTATCATGTCTACAAAATGTGAGCATGCAGGTTTCCCATATGCCTGTGAATACTTGCACAACTTCTAGTTGTGTAGAAGCCTAAGTGCATAGACTTCCAGGAGCATGCAATCCCTTCTCAGGTATGGAAATGCAGCTCTATTAAGGCAGTTCTTATTTGGTCATGTTAAGCATGACATCAAGACATTGTGTTTACAGAGATCAACCATAGATTTGGAACAATTCCTTAGCCCAGTGGTGGGTTTCAAAAATTTTTACTATCGGTTTTGTGGGTGTGGCTTGGTGGATGTGGCAGGGGAAGGATTCCCACCCCACTCCTGGGGGGAAGGATATTGCAAAATCTCCATTCCCAACCCACTCTGGGCCAACCAGAGGTGGTATTTGCCGTTTCTCCGAACTGTTCAAAATTTCTGCTACTGGTTCTCCAGAACTGCTCAGAACCTGCTGAAAACCACCTCTGCCTTAGCCCTACCATATCTTGGATTGTAAACCTATCCATGTTCACTGGAATTTCCCTGTCTTTTGTTAATTCCAACTTTCTGTGAATTAGAAAGAGACTGCTGCTTACTTTATAGACTTCTTCAACATAACCAGATCCATCTGTTTTTATTCTCTTCCTTTGATGTGTTCATTTCCTTCAGCTAGATCATTCCCCAAAACCACTCTTTGCCCTAAATCCTGATAAATCCTGCCTTTTATTTCTGCCTTTTGTTTTCATTTTTAAATAAGCCTGCTGAAATCTATTTTCTCCCCCTCTGTTGTCCCCCCACCCCATCCCGGTAGAGTACCATATTTTCCTTGATCTCCTCACTGCATAGCTGTGAGTTAGGCCTATTGGTGTGCCAAGCGTGGTTTGGCAAGACATTTTTAATGAAAGCACTTCATAAAAAGTCTATGTTTGCACAACACATTAGTGTACAGACTAGTCAACTTAGCTTAGTTTTAGCTTAGCCTATTGTGCAAGCTTAGTCCCTGTAGTTAATTTAACTGTCTTCTCAACTCTTGCCCAGGGAAAAGCCCCTCTGGAAGGAGTAAACATCACTGGTAAATACTAGGTAAGGGTAAAGGTTCCCCTCACACATACGTGCTAGTTGTTCCCGACTCTAGGGGGCGGTGCTCATCTCCGTTTCAAAGCGGAAGACCACGAAGATGTCTCCGTGGTCATGGGGCCGGCATGACTAAACACCAAAGGCACACAGGACGCTGTTACCTTCCCACCAAAAGTGGTCCCTATTTTTCTCCTTGCATTTTTCACGTGCTTTTAAACTGCTAGGTTGGCAGAAGCTGGGACAAGTAACGGGAGCTCACCCCGTTACATGGCACTAGGGATTCGAACCGCTGAACTGCCGACCTTTTGATCAACAAGCTCAGCATCTTAGCCACTGAGCCACCACATCCCTCTATATAAATACTATATGGGTGGAATTAACCTGTGTGTTTCAGGCCTTGCAAAATAATCTTCTGCAAATGCTGCACCATTACTGCTTCCTCCTTTTCATTAAGTGCACCTATAACAATGGGCCAAAGCTTTCTCTTTAAGCCATAATCTAGTTGAGAGAAACAGCTCGACCTTCAGTCTAAGTTTATCTCTCAAGAAAGCATATTGTGTTGTACAAGAGTATGCCCATCCTATTGTCCTCTAAAAGAAACAAGAGTGACAGGCAAGGGTCTTCTTGAGTTTCCATTGTTCCAGAGGTTTTAATGCTTTGCCAGGGCTGTTTATATAAGAGAGTAATCAATCTTTTGTGCAGGGCAACTGAGCCTTTTCAGAGAAGAGCACCTGTTGTAGCTTGAGTTCTTGCATACTCAGTGCTAAACTCGCATTTTTAAAATGTGAAATCTTTCACCGTGGCCACAGATAGGGTCAGTTACTAGACACAGGGCCAGAGGTGGGTTTCAGCAGGTTCTGACCAGTTCTCGAGAACTGGTAGCGGAAATTTTGAGTAGTTCAGAGAACCGGTAAATACCACCTTGGACTGGCCCCGCCCCCATCTATTCTCTGCCTCCCGAGTCCCAGCTGATCGGGAGGAAATGGGGATTTTGCGGTATCCTTCCCCTGCCATGCCCACCAAGCCACGCCCACCATAACATGCCACGCCCATCAAGCCACACCCATGGAACCGGTAGTAAAAAAATTTGAAACCCACCACTGCACAGGGCCATGGCTTTTCTTTGTTTGTGTCACTGTTGCCAAACCTGCTTTCTCCAAAATTATTGTTAGGTTAATCCTGATGCTGCATGAAATAAAAGCTCCTGTGCGTGTTTATGTATGTTGTGAGGAACATAATCCAGGAAGGGTAACCCTCCTTCACATCTTTTGTGCTCCCAAACTTGATCAAGCTCCCAATACTTTGCTTTACAAGAATCCCACTAGTTCCTTCAGTCAGAATTGGAGAAGCTTCTTGGATGAGAAGCGAAATGTCTTCAAGGAAAAACAAAGTCCAGTTGCCTTTTGACAAAGCACCTTTGGGCAACCATGACCTGGATGACTGAGAATCTCCATAGACATGGAGTTCATCAGCTTTCCTCGAAATCCCACAGGTTGCAAAGACAGAAACTCACAGCGACATCACATGGCCCCACTTTAGTAGCCCCACGAGATTTCCCTATTTACTCCCAATTCATGGCATTTATTTTCTTTATAAAACTTAAAAGTAGCAGACCACGTAGTTAAGCAGCAAATCTGTTTCCAGTCATGCTTCAATGGATTCAAATGCCTAGAAGAAGAATAAAAGCATCTTTAGTGCAGAACAGATAATAAAGCTTGTCTCAAACATATTGGGAGCTCCTACTGAGAAGACTTTCTTCTGAATAGCTATTTGCCACAACACAGTTTGGGAAAATATTCTAACCCAGGCCTCAAAGAAGTATCTCAAGGTGTCAGAAGAACAGGTGTTGCTTTAGTTACTCGATGAATTTAGTCTGAGATCAGGACCCAGAATTCGTGTTGAAGGTGAATTGAGAGCCAATGAAGATTGTATAAAACTGGTGTAACATCTTCATAACATTCAGAGGGCAAAAGAAGAAGGGGACGACAGAGAACGAGGTGGCTGGATGGAGTCACTGAAGCAGTAGGCGTGAGCTTAAATGGACTTCAGAGGATGGTAGAGGACAGGAACGTTGTCCATGAGGTTGCAATGGGTCGGACATGACTTCACAACTAACAACAACAACATTCAGATCCAGTCAACACCTTCTCTGTGATATTAGTATTAACTGAAATTTCTACAATATCTCCAAGGGCAATGTTATGTCTCGCATAACACGGTGTAGATATCTAAATGAAAATACTGAGTACAGAACAACAGAGTTGGAAGGGACCAACTCTTATTTATGATGATTATTAAATTACCGTGGAATTATTATCACAACAAAGTTATCTTTATTCCAGGAAAGGCAGTAATGGAGACAACAGGCTAAGTTAGTAGAAAAGGCTTCTTGTCTCATTTCTTCAGGGTGAACCAGACCAGTAAAGAGATACCACCTGAAATATTCAATTTGATTATTGATATAAATTATAATAAACAAGTATTGAAAGATGGTCAGTTTATTTTTCCCTCCTTTTTTATACCCAAAACAGTCAAGGGAAGTCAATTTTGAATTTCTTCCTTATCGGTTCCTACCTTTTCAGACTGAGTTGATGTTTTTGTAGTGTCTGCCACATACTTATTTCAAGGCTGTCTCCGTCATTCTCTACATCATGCCACAGAGAACCATAGTATCTCTAATGAAAAGAATCTAGAAGCACTGCCAAGTGATGAAGTTAATCATTTTAGGAATACAAGCCTAGCACTTCTTTCTTGTCTCGA